TTAAGGTTTAGGGTTGAGGGTTTAGGGGTTTAGGGGTACCCTAAACCTTAAACCCCTAAACCCTAAACCCTAAACCTTAAACCCCTAAACCCTTAACCCCTAAACCCTAAACCCCTAAACCCCTAAACCCTAAACCCTTAAATCCTATAAGCTTGCAGGCTGAAGCTCTGCTGCAGCTCCCCGGGTAGATACCCGGACGCTCCAGACGAGGAGGGCACGACGCCGCTGATGAGGGCGTCGAAGTCTGGCCAGGTGGGTAGCTCTCTAAATTAGGGTCTCTATTAGGGCCCTTTTTATCAGGGCGCCCCACTGTATTGGGGACCTGAAAAGGGTCCCGACTTTAGAGAACTACCCAGGTAGATGTCGCACAACTGCTCCTGGAGGCAGGTGCTGAGAAGGATTTGAGCGACCTGGGCGGTCGTACTGCACTGATATTTGCAGCTATGAGAGGACGTGCTCCAGTCGTAAAGTTGCTGCTGCTGGCAGGTGCTCAGGTGGATGTTGTTGATGAGCGGGGCAGTACAGCGCTGATGCAAGCAGCATACAACGGTCATGCTCCAGCCGTGATGTTGCTGCTTCGGGCCGGGGCCCAAGTGGAAGAGCGCGACAATTCGGGCGACACAGCTCTGATGGATGCAGTGCGTGGCGGTCATGCGGCAATAGTTCGCTTGCTCCTGGATGCTGGTGCCGAGAAGGATTCGTGTAACTTCGCGGGAGGTACGGCGCTGATGATGGCAAGTGATTCCGAAATCAAGCGCTTGCTGGAGGCCTGAGAGCTGCAACATGACTCGACAGTAGCGGCTCTAGAGCTGCAAGAAAAGGTAGGATATGCAAGTTTACGGAACGGTTCATCTTAGAGGTTTAAATTAAGGGTAGTTAGCAGCTTTTCTGGCCGAATAAGAACCTAGTATACTTGAGCGTTAAGTATCGATAGGTGTAGTTGCTCTAGTTGTAGGCCTACGTGGTCGTTGAGCTTTGAAGGCCTCAGACATTTGTACTGTTGCCGCAGACTTACTAAAGTGGTTGTACCCGCCTTTTCACCTTCCCGAGCCGGAGGGCGGTGCATCCGCACCCTGCGGTGCCGGGTTTTCGCTTGTTTTGCCTGACTGTGCCGGGGGGCGGCATAGCCGCACCCTGTGCCGGGGCTATGTGGGTGTTTCATCCGCGTGCCTTTAGGGACACAGTTTTCCCACCAGCAGAAAGACACATCTCGCTCCTCGATGAATGTAGCTAAGTTTGTAAACTTTACACTCTTCAGGCTTGTAAATCCCGTGTCAAGCAGATACATTACCAGCCTCAAGCTCTAAACTGTAATTTTTAAACTCTAAACCCTAAACTGTAATTTTTAAACTCTAAACCCTAAACTGTAACTTTTAAACTTAATCCCTAAACTGTAACTTTTGAACTTCATCCCTACACTGTAACTTTTACACCCTGAACCCTAAACCCCGGATGAGCTGACCGGTAAGGCCGAGCCGAAGCTCGGAATCCACGCCTGAGCCCTGTGCTTGAACACTTTTTCTCGACTTAGGGCTTCTTAGGGTTCCGGTTAAGGGCTCCTTAAAAGGCATACTATAAGTCCATAAGGGCCATACTATAAGGGTTTAGGGTTTGGGGGCTTTCATAATTAGAATAGGGTTTAGGGTTTAGGGCTCCTTTTAAGGGTTCCTTAAAGGGTTCTATAAGGGTTGTACTACCATGAGGGTTTGGGGTTTAGGGGCCTTAATAATCAGAATAGGGTTTGGGCGGTATATAGTATACGATAACTATAGAAGGAGCCCCCGAAACCTTATTCGAATTATTAACATTAGGCTCGGAGCCCTGCGCCCCAGCACCCCCTTGTAAAAAAACAAGAAAGAAGCCTTCATAGAAGTCTTCTAAAGAGGGGCCGACAAACCCAAAAAGCCCTTGTAGTAGCCCTATGCCTTAAGCCCTACCTAGACCCTCTTAGAAAGGTGCCCAGTTAAGCCCCTAAACCCTAAACCCTAAACCTAAACCCTAAACCCTAAACCCTAAACCCCTACTTTGGGGGCTAGTGCATGAACAAAAACCCTACTTTTCGCTCTTCCCCTTCGCAGC